GTTGCAGTGAGCCAAGATCTCGCCACTGTACTCCAGCCTGGAGGATACAGCGAGACTCTCTCTCCGAAAAAAGAAAAGAAGGACAAAAAGAAACTCTTCCACCTCGGGTCATCAGGTAGTAGTTAGATTCTCATAAGGAGCACGCAGCCTGGATCCCTCATACGGGCAGTTCACAATAGGGTTCGAGCTCCTATTTGAGAATCTAAGGCCACTGCTGAGCTGACAGAAGGTGGAGCTCAGGCGGTGATGGTCACTCACCCACTGCTCACCTGCTGTGTGGCTGCGTCCTAACAGGCCACAGACCAACCGGCCTGCGGTTGGGGACCCCTGCTCTAGAGGACTGCTCTCTCTAACCTGATATTATTAATCTTTTATTACATACTTAGCACTGTGCCAGAGGCTTGTAAGTGCAAACGTATTACATTGTTTCACAGCCCATAAAGGAGGCACGACTAGTAAGCCTGGTTTAGAGAAGGAGGGAGCTGAGGTCAGCTGGTGAGGGTGGGGCCAGGATCTGAACCCCACAGGATGACTTGGGAGTCACTACTTTCAAAAAACAAATGTGTGTGTGTGTGTGTGTGTGTGTGTGTGTGTGTGTGTGTGTGAGTGAGACGGAGTTTTGCTCTGTTGCCCAGGCTGGAGTACAGCGGCTTGATCTCGGCTCACTGCAACCTCTGCCTCCAGGGTTCAAGCGATTCTCCTGCCTCAGCCTCCTGAGTAGCTGGGATTATAGACATGTACTACCATGCCTGGCTAATTTTGTGTTTTTAGTAGAGACAGGATCTCTCATGTTGGCCAGGTTGGTCTCAAACTCCTGACCTCAAGTGATCCCAGCCTGCCTTGGTGTCCCAAAGTGCTGGGATTACAGATGTGAGCCACCACGCCTGGCCACATTTTCTCTTCTTATAAGGACACCAGTCAGATTGGATTAGGGCCTACTGTAAATACTTTATTTTAATTTACTTATGCTTTTTAAAACCTTATCTCCAAATATAGTCACAATCTGAGGTTTTTAGGCATTAGGATTTCAACATATACATTTTAACGTTACGAAATTCTGCCTATAATGCTATGTATCTACATGTATTATTTTCAGAACCATGTCCGAGTAAATTGCAAACAGAGTAAATTGCAAAAGCTTACCTCTAAATACTCCAGTGGGCTGGGCACAGTGACTCACACCTGTAATCCCAGCTCTTCAGGAGATGGAGGCGGGCAGATCACCTGAGGTCAGGAGTTCAAGACCAGCCTGACCAACATGGAGAAACTCAGTCTCTACTAAAAACACAAAATTAGCCAGGCATGGTAGTACATGTCTATAATCCCAGCTACTCAGGAGGCTGAGGCAGGAGAATCGCTTGAACCCGGGAGGCAGAGGTTACAGTGAGCCGAGATCTCACCATTGCACTCTGGGTGACAGAGCAAGACTCCATCTCAAAATAAATAAATAAATAAAAATGCTCCAATGTGTATTTCCTCAAATCAAAGATATATTCTCTTCTATGACCACAGGACAAGCATGAGGTCAGGAAATTGGCATCGATACAATACTATTATCTCATCTACAAACTCCATGGCAATTTGCCCCTTACTGGTGATATTCACTTTGATCATTTAGTGAAGGTTGTGTCTGCCAAATTTCTCCACTGGAGAGTTATTATGTTTCCTTCCATAATTAATTATCATCTTGTGGGGAAATAACTTGAAGCTATGTAAATACTTTCTCATCAAGTTTTCATACTCATTGGTGATTCTTGCTGCAACCCATGATGATTATGGTAGCTGCCTGATGGTCATTTTCTTTTCTTTTTTTTTCTTTTTCTTCCTCTTCTTTTTTTAATAGAGACAGGATTTTGCCATATTGCCCAGGCTGGTCTCGAGCTCCTGGGCTCAAGCGATCCTCCTGCCTCAGTCTCCCAAAGTGCTGCAATTACAGGTGTGAGCCACCATGCCCGGCCTGAGCTCCCACTTTTTTTTTTTTTTTTTGAGGCGGAGTCTCACACTGTCTCCTGGGCTGGAGTGCAAGGGCATGATCTCTGCTCACTGCAACCTCTGCCTCCCAGGTTCAAGCGATTCTCCTGCCTCAGCCTTCCAAGTAGCTGGGATTACAGGCACTGGCTGATTTTTTGTATTTTTAGTAGAGATGGAGTTTCACCATGTTGGCCAGGCTGGTCTCGAACTCCTGACTTCTCCACACGCCTTAGCCTCCCAAAGTGCTGGGATTACAGGCGTGAGCCACTGCACCAGGCCAGAGCCCCCACTTTTAAATAGGACATTATACCATGGCCCTTGATCTTGACCAGAAGGGGAGCTATGTCTGTGGGAAGCAGTCCCTGCAGGGTGGATAATAAGGCACTGACCCCTTGTTCTGGCAGACTGGGGATGAGAGCAAAGGATCTAGGAAGCATGGCATCCAGGAGCATTCTTCAGGTCCAATGGGAATTCATTCACTAGTTGAGCACCTACAGTGTTGCAGGCGTGGCCCCAGCTCTTGAGAAGCTCATGAAAAAGGGAGTAGATGGGGAGGCTAAGGCAGAAGGAAGGCTTGAGGCCAAGAGTTCAAGATCAACCTGGGCAATAGGGTGAGACCTGCCCCCCCGATCTCTGCAAAAAATAGAAAAATCATCCAGGCACAGTGAAGCACACTTATAGTCCCAACAACTCTGGAGGCTGAGGTGAGAGGATCACTTGAGCCCAGAAGTTCAAGGCTGTGATGAGCTGGAATTGTGCCACTGCGCTCCAGCCTGGGCAACAGGGAAAGACCCTGTTTTTTTTTTTATTTATTTTTTTTTAAAGGGGGTGGGGGATAGAAAAAATAGACAACTCACCACTGTGCAGTTTCTAAAATTGAGAAATTTTGTACCCCAAGGGTTAACTTAGGTGGCTCTTTTAGCTACGGAAATGGAGAGCAGTGAGCAATTGGTTTTTAAAGATTCTTGTGAGTGTTAGACAAAGCTGCCTCAACTTTTGGTCACTTGGGAAACTAGTGGGCCAATTTGCAGACCAAACCCCACAGCCTGTGGGAGGGAAGGGAAAGAAGCCGGAGGTCTGGTGGACCGAGGCACAGAGGAAGGAAAGCAAGATAAGGGCTCTGAAATCGAATTTGCCACATCAAGGAAAGTGGGGATCTTTGCTGGTGATCAGGGTGCCACACAGAGGCCTCCCCATTTGGAGAGGTCCTGTGCCCTCCACAGTGAAATAAGTGCCATGATGTCAATTTCACAGGAGAGGCTGCCGGAGCGATGGAATTTCAGTCAGTGAGAACAGCATGAGCAAAAGAAAGTGGGGGGGGAGATGAATGGCAACATCTATCCCCCATGTGGCTTCCAAAGCCATCTCTTTTGGGTGGGGCTTCCCACCACAGCACTCATCCCTCATGTTTATGTGGCCCTCCTCCCGTGGTTGCGATGTAACCCCAAAGTGAGCCAAGATTGTGCCACTGCACTCCAGCCTGGGTGACAGAGTGAGACCCTGTCTCAAAAACAATAAGAAAACAAAACAACGACAACAAAAAATTCAGAGGTGAAGATTGCTTTAACCAGGGTGATCAGAAAGGTCTCTCTGAGGCAGTGACATCTGAGCTGACCTGAAAGATGAGAAAGAGGCAGGCCAGTTAACAGAAGAAGAGGCAGCCAGTGCCAAGGGCCTGTGGCAGGAATGGGCTTAGTATGTTTGGGGGACAGAAAGAAGGGTACTGTGGCTGAAGAGCGGTGGATGAGGAGAGACTGGCCAGAGGAGGTGTGTAAACAATCTGAACTTTGTTATGAGAAGAACATTGGCTGGTGTAGGAAGACAGACTTTGGAGGCAAAGTAGGGAGCCTGTCTATCCAGAGGCTGCTGCCACTGTCCGGGTGAGCTGATGGTGCCAGGACCAGGTGGCAGGACCTGGTGGTGAGAAGTGGTCCTATGCAGGAGACCCAGAAACACCGCTAGCTTGAGTTCTCAGGTGGGGAGGAAGTGAGTGTGAGGGATGGAGCCAGGATCCCGGGTTCTGGCTTGAACAGCTGAGATGGGGTGGCAGGGGAGCGGAGTTAACTGACCATCGGGTGCGGGCTTTGGGCCGAGTCGTTTGCAGTCGTCTCCCATCTGACACCCACTGGAGACGCAGAGCGGGTTGCTGGCTATGAGTCTGGAACTCGGAGAAGCTGTTCGCTCTGGAAATACAAACCTGGGGCTTACAGCCATGTAGATGACATTTAAAGACACGGAACTGGATGAGATCATTAAGGCAGAAGGTGTAGGTCGAAAGAAGAGGGCCAGGACCCCTGACTGTAAAATGAACCAATGACACCTCCACCCACGGGGCTCTCGCGAGGTGTCACGTGAACGCACCCAGCAAGCGCTGGAACCAGGCAGAGAATCGCTGCTGCCCTGGGGGCGGGGCCTCCGGGGGCGGGGTCAGAAGGGGCGGGGCCGAGGGACCAGGAGGCCGCTCCGGGCCGGAGGGCGGCCGGGGCGGTGACGTCACCGCATGACTGGGTTTTTATGAATGAAAGGAATCCTGTGAGTGAGTAATTCCGGGAAGCTCGCCTTACAACTCCGCGCGGCCTCGGCCCCCTGCGCCGCCCGCCCCACAACAAAACTCTGCGCAGCGCTCCCGGGCGCCCGGTTCAGAGCGACCTGCGGCTCAGAACGGAGGGGAGACGGACCAGAGAGCGGGCCGGGACAGCGGCCGGGACAGCGGAGAGACGCGCGCGTGCGAGAGCGCCGGGCCAGGCGGGCCCAGAGGCGGGTGAGGAACGCGGGGCCAGGAGGACGGTGCGCGGGACCCCGAAGCGGCAGGGTTTCCGCGCCCCGGGACGCGCCTGAGGTGGGCGCCCGGGCCCGATCCGTCGGGGCTCCAGGGGCTCCGTCACCCATCGGACGGCTGGGGGCGGGGAGAGGGGAGCGGCCGTCCCAGGGACGCCGAGACGGGGCCGAGGCCAGCTCGGCGGAGTGGGGGTGGAGACGGGGCCCCTTCCCGGGGAGCGGGCGGGGAGGCGGCGGCGCCGGGGAGGAAGGGGCAACGCAGGCCGGCGATCTCCGCGTCCGCCCGGCGGGGGCGGGGGCGCTGTGCTCCTACGTGACTCGGTGGGAACAGGCCCTGGCCCGGCGCCCGCGGGCGGTGCGCGCGCGGTTTGTTTACGTCCGAGGGCGGGCGGGCGTGCGTGTGTTTCCTGGCGGGCGGCCTGGGTGTCCTGCCCGGTGCGTGCGTGCGCGGTGTTCCTCGCGGGGCGTGTGTGCGTGTGTTGTGCTGTGTTGCGCGTGTGTGCTTGTGTGTGCGTGTCCGCGCGCGCGCTCCCTGGGGCCTGTACACCAGCAGTGTGTACTTCGGAGAGGGCGTGCCCTGGGCTGTCCACAGGAGTAAACGCGGAACAAGGACCCAAGCGAAGGAAACGGACGCGTGCTTCTTCACGCTGGGTGTGGGAATTCTGGTCCCGGCCGGCCGAGTCCTACTGCCCAGGGCTGTCTGGGCCCCCCGCGCTCCTCGGAGTTTCCCAGGGCTTCCACCACGTGACCCCAGTGTTTGTCCCCCGCCCAGAGCCGGCGCCTGCAGCCACAGGGTGGGGCAAGGTATCAAAGACCTCACCCAGCTGAGCTAGAAGTGAGGGGTGTGAGCCACTCTCTGCTTGGCACCCTAGTGGATCTGGTAACAAAGTGAGTTGGAGCCCAGGTTCTTGTCCCCAGATTTTGGGGCTCCTTGGGGAGGGAAGACCCAACATACTCTCGTTCCTCCCCAGGGTTGCCCATCTCCTCAGTCCCATGAGAAGAGGAAGGGCCAGAAAACCGACTGCAAAGGTCGGGGGCAGGGAGAGGACCCCAGGCTTTCTCGCTAGTCTGGGTTCTGGAGGCTGTACCTACTCGGTCGCGGAGGATGGGGCAGAGCCGGTTTCGCCCTCCTGGTAGCTTCAGTTCACAAGTGGGACTAGTGAGACTAGACTGACCTACAGCTGGACGTGGGAAGCTAGCTGAGGCTCTGAACCAGAGGCGAGTCCTCACCCTTGGCCAGGCAGGGTCAGCAGGCAGTGGGGACAGGCCTCTGACTGCAGGAAGGGTTAATGAGTGAGGGGTGGGGCCTGACCTACCTGCCACCTACCCACTCACCCAATAACCCTGCAGAAAGCACCTGTTTAGTGTGGCAGCCTGCAGGATGGGCTGGGAGTAGAGATTCCTTGGTCTTAACCCACCTTACCCCTCCACCCACCCACAGGTCTACAGAATCATGGGAGGGGGAAAGTTGAGCTTGCCAGGGTGAAGAACCAATGATCTTTTGACTTCCGATCTTTGAACCCTGGTGAGCTCTGCTACAGCAACATGGACCCTCAGTGTCCCCCTCTGCCACTGGAACTAGGTAACAGGCAGGGTGGCAGGATGGTGTGTAGGAGGGGGAAGCTCTGGAAGTCTCTGCAGACAGCGTATTTTCCAGGGGAATTGTGGAAGAGAAAGCAGAACCGACAGCAGACAGCTGAGGGTACCCAAGAGTAGGTGGGGTTTGAGTCAGTGGGGTTGGGCCAGGAGTACAGGAACCAGCCAGGCCCACTCTCAAAGCTGGGCAGGAAACATTCCAAAGTAGGGCCAGGGGTCAGGGGATGAGGGGAAGCGGCTGGCTGACTCAGTCCCAGATGGAAAGTTAGCACTGAGAGGTTTAACCTCCCATCCAATCACCCCTGGGCCTTGCATGGCCGTTGGGCCCCGTCCTGGACCAGATGCCGGGGATGATTTGAATAGACCAGATCCAGAGACTGCCCTCTGGGAGCGTACAGCTAAGCAGGGGACATAGAGTTGAAAAAAGATCCACAGAAGTAGATGCAAAACACAGCTGAGATGGATGATGTGAGGGAGAAGTGACTGTGGTTTGAAAGTACGTAACAGCACTCTGACTTAGCCAGGACAATCAAGAAAGGCTTCCCTGGGGAGGTGACTAGTGAGCTGAGTCTGATAGAGTGGTGGTTGTCTGTGAAGCCCTTGAAGGCAGGACTGTGATTCATTTTAGGGTGTCCAGGGCCCAGCCTGGAACACAGTAGGTGCTTCTTGGATGTCTGCTGATTGAATGAATGAGCCCTGGGTCCCTGTCCTTGAAGAACTCCACAACATATGGAGAAAAAGGCCTGGGAACCCCAGAGAAACAGGAAGCCGGGGCTGGGGCTGGAGGAATCTTGAAGCAGTCTCCCAAAAGCGAGTAGATCCTTCAGGGCTCAGGAGACTTCCTCCCTCACGCACACAGGCACACACTGCCCAGCTGTCCCTTTGGGAAACATTCAGGGATAGCAGAATTTGCTGTCTGTTCATTCGTTTGCATGTGATCCTGGGAGAGAGTGGACAGGAACATGGCTGAGACCTGAGGGCCCTACTGTGTGGGCTCATGGGAAGCTGACATTGCAGGGCTTTGAAATGGGCCAAGCATGAGCAGGCTTGTGGGTTTGTGTCAGTACTGATTCCTCTGACAGCTCTTGGGGAAGCATCAATAGTAGGGATTGGAGATGGAGGGCAAGACAAGAGGCTGGTGAGCAGGCAGCTGTGGGCACGGTCCAGATGAAAGAGGAAGTGGTCTGTGGCTGCGCAGGTGGAGAAGAGGGCTAGTCTGATAGACTGGTAGTTTGTGTCTCATGTCTCCACCTCCAGGAAGCCTTCACTGCTTTCCTTTCTCTACCTCCATTCTACTGGTGGTCTTGGAACTCTGGGCCAGTATCTGAAACTTTAAACTCAGAGATAGTCATTGCTGGAAGGTACCTTAGGCTTGGAGGAGGTTTGGCATGTTGGGGAAACTGAGGCCCAGAGAGAGGGAGTGCGGTACCTGAAGCCACACAGCAAGTATGAGTGGGTGCCAGAACTGGGCTGGAACCCCAGGCCATTGCATCCCTGCAGTGCTTGGTGCTCGCAGCCTTGCTCCCCTTCCAGCAGGGAGGAGGTTCCAGCAGAGCTGGCTGACAAGACCCAGGAAAACACATTTTTTCCCTCTGTCCTCACAGAGCGAGCAAAATGGCTCAGCAGCCAGAGAGGAGCCCATGCCAGTGGGTGGGCCTTCTACAGGGTGTCTCTGTAGTGGACTGGTGGGGCCAGGGAGGGGGACGTTGGAGGGTTGTGGCTGCTGACTGGACAAGGCAGTTGTCAGTTCCCCAAGTGTCACCTTACTCATTATGCCTCCAGAAGACGACAGGAACCTGCAGACCCTGGAAGTCAGCTCTGCTGGCTTCCAAGGGAAGAAGGGAGGACGCCAGGGAGAGGTGGTGGTGGCTGGCATAGAAGAGAGGGGACCCCTGGGTTCCAGTCCACCACTGCCACCAAACAGCGGCTTGGTTGCCTCCACTGCAGAACAGGGGATCGAATCAGCTGCTGTTTCTCAGGCCCGGGTTCAGCCAGGATGGCAAAGGCAAAGGACCCAGACCCCTTGACAGCCCCTGGCCCGGGGTTGGCAGCGGAAAGCCTGAGGTTACTGGAAAGTTCTCCCTTCTTGTGACTTTCCCTCTGTGATTGCCTGACTTTGCTGAGCTAGGACATTCCTGGGCAAACGTGGGTGCCTCGGCTGACATCCAGGATGCAGTTGAGGGGGCTGAGGCTGGGACAGGAGAGCGTGGAGGAGTGGGGGAAGAGCAGGTTCAAAACCTCCTTAGCACCTGAGGGTACTTAGAATCACAGCCAGCTGCCGCTAGTGTCAAGAGTAGGGAATGGCTGGGTTCCATCTCTTGGGCCTGCTCTGGAAGCAGTGTTGAGAAGGATTCTGAGGCTGTGTCCAGGTTCAGGAGGAAACAGTGCTGCACTGAGGAAGACCCAAGGGCTATGCCCTGCCTCGCTAGGAACCAGCGCTTTGGTGGGTAGCGATGTCTCTGCTGCTTGTGGATAGCAGCATGATGGTGAGATGGGGTAATCTTTCTTGCCGAAGCCTCTTTTTTTTTTTTTTTTTTTTTTTTTTTTTGAGATGGAGTCTCAGTCTGTCTCCCAGGTTGGAGTGCAGTGGCACTATCTCAGCTCGCTACAACCTATGCCTCCTGGGTTCAAGAAATTCTCCTGCCTCAGCCTCTCGAGTAGCTGGGATTACAGGCACCTACCACCACATCCAGCTAATTTTTGTATTTTTAGTAGAGATGGGGTTTCACCATGTTGACCAGGCTGGTCTTGAACTCCTGACCTCATGATCAACTGCCTCGGCCTCCCAAAGTGCTGGGATTAAAGCCTTTTTTTTTTTTTGAGTCTCACTCTGTCACCCAGGCTGGAGTGCAGTGGCTTGTTCTCGGCTCACTGAAACCTCCACCTCCCAGGTTCAAGCGATTCTCCTGACTCAGCTCCCCAGGTAGCTGGGACTGTAGGTGAGCCCCACCAGGGAGGCGAGGTGTGAAAGGACCAGGTTTCAGTCCTGCGCCTTTGCAGATATTCATTCACACCTGTTGTGTGACTTCGGGCAAGTGATGCCCCTCTCTGGGTCTCCACCTCCCCTTGGGTAAAGTGAGGAGGCAGGACCTGATGGCCTCTAAGAGTCTTTCCTGCAGTTCCCTGTGTGCCCTTGCTGGCTGGGAGATGCTGAATCAGAGCGAGACCTCAGTGCTGGCTACAGGCCTGACCCCTCCTGGACAGACAGCAATTCTAACCTCCCAGGTGCTCACTGACCTCTACAGTTTATATCACTTGATTCCACCAAAACCCTGCGAGGCAGGTACTGTTCTGATCCGACAGATGGGAAAGTGGAGACCCAAAGAGGTGCAGTGGTTCACCCCAGGTCACACAGCCTGAGAAAACAGAGATGGGACTTAAACCCAAGCTTGATTCCCTTTACCAAGGATTTACCTTGAATCCACTGCACCTTTACCTGTTTCCCAAACCCTGCCTTTGCGGGGGTCACATGGCTGGGATTCCCTCTGCTGTCTTCCCATTCTCCCTTTGTGGGGGATTCCCTCTGCTGTCTTCCCATTCTCCTAGCATCTGGACTGTCTCTGCCAACCGGCACAAGGAAGCAGCTGGAGAGGAGGAAGAATTAGAGACATTAGGGACAGGGCCAGGAGTCTCTGAACTACGCTTCGGCCTGGAACTTGGTTTGGACACTGACAAGCTGGGTGATGGCATCAGAGACTCCACCCATCCACCCCTCCCCAGTGCCTGCTCCTGCCAGGCCTTGTGCTGGGTGGCCTCAAGCACCCAGAGCTGACTTAGCCCCTCCCTGTCTGGTGGAGAGACGGCAAGGACATACAACCCGTTACACACAGGGGTGGGTGGTGCCTAACAGGTCCTAGGGGTCAGGGAGGGCTTCCTGGAGGAGGAGAGGTCTACATCCAAGGAAGGAGGATGAGTAGGAGTCCGCCAGACAAAGTAGAGGGGAGCGAGGGGAGAGAAATGTCACGGGGTGGGAGGTGGCTCAGAAGCAAGAAAGCGCGGGTGGGAGGAAGTGAAAGAAATTGTGCATGGCTGGAGTGCTTAGGGGAGGCGGCAGTGGTGGGAAATGAGCCTGAGGCTGGACACACAGGGCCTGGAGTGCCATGAGGGTGGGTCTGGACTCTGACCTCAGGATAGTAGGAAACCATGGAAAGTGTTGTTTGTTTGTTTGTTTTTGAGACAGAGTCTCGCTCTGTTGCCCAGGCTACAGTGCAGTGGCGTGATCTCGGCTCACTGCAACCTCCGACTCCAGGGTTCAAGTGATTCTCCTGCCTCAGCCTCCTAGCACCTGTAGC